CTAGTTTAGGTAGTGTGTACTCCAATTATACTATTTATTTTAGTCAATCAATCAAACTAATTTAGCTAGTTTTTGAAAGAAAAATATTATAAGCATAAATAAAAAATATAATATTCTTATGATATGTTGTTTATGCACCTAGTGTTGACATGACATTTACAAATATTTATTTTTTAAATATATAATTAAATCATTTTTTAAAATAATATTTTTACACGGATATATTTTAAAAAATAACAATGGGCTAGAACAAACAGAGATGCAGCAAAGATTGATGGAGCAAGTAGAGATGAAGGTCTCAAAACAATAGTAAAACCTTTTTGTCCAGTAATGGAGGCTAGCTAGATGTGGAAAGCAAAAATGAAAATTAGCAAAATGCCTCTTGTGGTGTAGAGCTTGTTGGAGGTAGAGAAAACTAACTTCACTAACAAAAATGTCTCATGTTTAGAGATGTTGAGACAAATGATGAGATAAAAGCAACTCTAATGAACTTTTGAAAACTAAAAAATAACTTTAATAAAATTATTTTAACTTTTATCATTGGAGTTGCTGTAAGATTTGGAAAAATATTTTTTTCCATTAAAAATAATAAGGAGAAGATAATCCGAAATAGCAATTCCTATAGCAATCCAAACGAGATTGCTAGTCTGGCTTGGTGGACAAATTCTAAACTAGAGGCTCCACATATCACTTAGCAGAGATGGTTCAAACTTGATCGAAACTCAAAAAATATATATAATTAGGGTTCTTTATAATTTTTGCACTATAAATTTATTTTTTTATAGTATAAGTTTTATTTAAAATTTAAAACAATCAAAATAATTTTAATATGAAGGCCTTATTTTCTTTTGTCTTGACTAAGAAAATGCAAGAAATGTAGACTCCGTTTATTTTGATATAAAATATTTTTATTTTTCATTGTTTGGTTGAACAAAAAGTAAGTAAAACTTTTTTTAAGGAAAATATTTTTGTATCATTTTTTCAAAAATGACTTTTAAAATTTTCGTAAGTTAATTTTTACAAAGTTGACTCCCACTCACTACCTTTTCAACACATTTAGCATTTTCAAATAAATATTTTAGCTCACTAAGAAATCATAAAGTTATTTTATTGAAACAAACTTTCTCTTTTAGATAACAAATTTTTTTTTTTATTTCACAGGTCAACCAAATGTCGAAAACAAAAAACAAAAATATTTTTTTGTGTAAAATCCATTTAAAAGAAAATTATTATTTTTTTTATATCGAAACGAATGGAGTTGTAATGTAAATATAATAATAAGACCCTTTTTATTTTTATTTTATGAGAGTTCGTTTTCTCTCTTTTTGATTTGACAAGAGAGTTTAAGAGACAGTATGTAACTATTTTTATTTATTTATTTATTGAGAGATTTTTAACTATTTCAATTTTAAAAAATTATTTTGACTATAATTTGTTTTATGTTAGTGAATATACACTAAGGTTCTATTTGTTTCGACATAAAATATTTTAACAATATATATATATTTTTGCTTTTCAGTGTTTAGTTGACATTTGAAACAAAAATATTTTAATGTCTAAAAGAGAAATTTTAATATCATTTATGACTTTTTAATGAATTGAGATACTTATTTGAAAATGTTAAATGTGTTGAAAAAATAACAAGTTACGAAATTTTTAAAAATAAGTTATTTTCTAAAAAATAATATAAAAATATTTTTTTAAAAAAAATATCTTATTTTTTGTTTAACTAAATAATAAAATATTTATAAAAAATATTTTACAAAAAAACAAACACGGAAACGTTCTTCTACCCAGCACTATGCCCCAGTCGAATCTCTTTCTAATTCATCAAAATGAAAACAACCAAAATGTTTGCTTGACACAGGGTCAAGCTAAGCATGTCTATCAACGACTTACAAGGTTACGACCTAACCGTAATCACTGCTAACCGGTCTCCCTCTACGCGACTTGGGTGATGTCTCACTTAACCTAACACAGTTCTACCCTCAACTAGCACAAACCCAAGAACAGTACTGTTCATATTATTATTCTATTAAATTCAAATTATGCCATATATGGTCTCATGCTGTTTACTGGAGAGGAGGTGGTGGCTGGATGGCCGCTGCCAACAAGCAAATCTGCTCCTGGATCTGCTTCTCAATTAACTGCATTTGATTATTAATGTTTTGTAATTGCTATGTTCTCACAGTCTGTAAATGACGATTATCAACAATAAGCCAAAAATTACAACGTTGTTTATAATATTCTAGTATTTCATATCATTCAACAAGTATATCTACAGGCATACATTAAAAGGATACGAAAAGAGATACTTACAATCAGAACTTCAAACTTTATTAAGTAATATGAGAGGTTTACAGAGAGAGCACACTGGAGAGAGAAAGAGAGAGAGAGAGCACACTTATGTGTTTATATATAATCTTACATAATAATTTAAAAATTCTACCTTCAACAAGGGTGAGGCTATCTTTTTTATAGACAAATAAAAGAAAAGATAAGATAAGAGTGAGGACAGGTGGCATGTCCTTGTGGAGTGGAATCGATTTTCCTTATCCTCAGCTGTTCTGATGATGACTCAGCACCTTATCTTTATTGTCCTGTAGTGAACAGCTTGTGAGGACAGCTGTATGGTTAGTACTAAATGGCCGACAGAGCATCTACTTTTGTCAAAAGTAGATGTACTAGTTTTTGTCGCTTTGTGCCGACGCTACTGGAAAGTGATGCTGGTTGGAGACGAGGTCATTCAGCCATACCTTTTCCTTTTATGTCCTTTTCCTTGTCAATCTTTTCAGCAATGAGACTAGTCTGAGAGTCCCAAAAATCTCCAAGATTGGGTTCATTGTCGGTAGGATCTTGAGCTTCATCGGCAAGTATTGCGAGCTCATTTTCATCCTGATCGGGGTCTTCTTCTGGGTCAGGCCCTTGGCTGCTAGTAACAGACTGCATACTGGTATCATCACTGGAGAGGGATTGAAGGAACTGTTCCTTCATGTAATTCATACTTTTGACAATTAATTCATATTCTGACAAATCTGGATATCTTTGTCGTAATTTAGTTTGAATTTGTAAAAAAGGATTCTTCATTACTGGAGTTGCTGGGAATAATTTGGGAACAGACTCCCAACTTGCCTTGGTATGAGCATAGATTTTCTGTAAGATTTCCTGCTGTTGTTTAAGGGTGTCAAGCCCTTTTGTCCACCATTTCACAAAGAAAACTCTATTGAGTCGTGGAACTTTGTTCTGGTAATCACATTGGAAATCTCACTTCCATATCCAGAGAATTCCAAAGCGAATGACAAAATGGACAACGAATTTAGACATTGAAATGTCTTTGTATACTGGAAGGTGGCTGTAGGTAGAGTGCCATTCATTAAAAGCCTACCTAATAGGTTTTGGAAAAACTTCTAACTGAAGCCCGAATTTATCCCACCAAACGAGAAGCCAATTAGGGAGAACGTTTTTGAGAATATCGGGAACAACACGGAGAAACCAAGAATGGCTCCGTAGGGGGTTCTGGTAATAAAAGGCATATGTAAATGCATCAATATAATCCCAATAATTGCAACGAGATTCCTTATTATGAATATCCAAAGTTCTGGTAACATGGGGATGCATAGCACAAGCGGCCATAGGCATTATTTTCTGGATAGTAGCTTTACTGAAATTGATAGGACTGGCAGTTCTATTAGGGTTGTCTAAAGCATGTTTGAACTCAATAGAAGCAGTCTCAATGAGTATCTGTTCATAAATGTATCTGTATTGATCAAAATGAGGTGGAAATTGTTGGGTTGTAAGATACCTCCGTTTAATCTCCCATGGATCAGACATCCATTGTTCATCTGCGGTATTAATGTAGAGGACTGTTTCCTCAACTATTGTATTCTGTATATATGGTTCTAGAGGAGTTAGGAGGACATCTTTAGCTGTTTGGTTAGATCCCCCCTTTTATTGTTAAGGGTAGCTTGAAGCCTTGGGAATTCTGTATGATATGGATTCTGTACATGGTAAGGGTTAGATCCCCTTCCACGGCCCCTATGGCCCAAGCCTTGGCCTCTACTGGACATAAGAACCTTGCAAATATTCGTGGGTTAGAAAATTTGGTAAAGAATTCTGTTCACCTTTGATATATTCGATATCAAAGTCAAATGCTGAAATTAAACTTTGCCAAGAAGCAAATATCTGTTTTTGAGCAAGATTCTGGACATCTTCTTTAAAAATCTGTTTTGCTGCAGAACAATCAACACGAATTAAGAAATGTTGGTTTAGTAAATCATCCTGAAATTTAGAAACACATTTTACAATAGCTAAACATTCCTGTTTAATGGTTAGATAATTTAAAGCTGCTTGTTTCCAACTTCCTGAAGTAAACCGCAAAAGTTCTTCTTTATTACTATTGGGGTTGAACTGTTATAGAATACCTCCATACCCTTGGTTAGAGGCATCAGTTTCAACAATTTTTTTCCATTCGGGATTGGGTAGAGCATGACAAGGAAGAGTCTTTACTTTAAGCTTTATTTTCTGAACAACTTTGGTATGTTCTGGTGTCCATGGCGGACGATTTTTCCGCAGTCTGGTATAAAGGATTTCAGCATCCTATGCTAACTGATGATAGTTGTCACTAATATAGTTAAGACTACCAAGAAATCTCTGTAATTGAGTTTTATCTTTAATTTTATCTGAAAATTTAGATGCAAATTCGATGCTTCTATCAATAGGAATTATAGTGCCATTATGGATATTATGGCTTAAAAAATGAATTGCTGTTTGAAAAAGCTTCATTTTTGGTGCAGAAATTACCAGACCATTTCTGATAATAACATGCTTAAAAATATTAAGATGCTTAATATTGTCACGACCCAAACCCGCCCCTATAGGTTTAGCATCGTAACCGGCCAGCAATCCTGGGGTTACCGAAGGCCGCTGAGACAGATTATCATAATATTAGGGGCTAGCGGAAGCAAATAAGAATATACAACGTCCATTAAGCTGTGCAGACTTATATGAAACAGAAAAATTTTAAACTTTTTATATACATATGTACACATTATCTTTAAGTCGTCATATATATGCAGATTAGACAAAAAGGGACTTAGCCCTATTTACAAAATACACAAGACTTGTTCAACCAAACATGAAAACAAAACCTAAACTTTAAATCACTTAGCGATAATCACTTGACATATCCGGAACCTCCACGGGAGGCACATAGGTTGGCTGACAAAAACAGATTCTAGGTAGATGCCTCTAAGCCTGGTCGCGTGCCTGATCACCTACATACATAAATAATACAATGAGCTAAAGCCCAGTGAATAATAACAGAGTAAAGGGTTTTAATGAATGAGTTCGTACAGATTCAGAAACCATAATTCAGTTTCATATCAAAATCATAATTTGTCCAAATCATATACAGACAGAAATCATAAGTCATGCGCAAGCATATGTGATACATCCATTAGCATTAACAGAACAGAACAAAATAGAACAGAATATATACACGTGAGGTTACGAATAACCAGTTCCATAAAGAAACCTCCGGATCCGGGTAACAGAACAGAAGCTGAGCCCTCATGACGGGGCCTCCGGTACGGGTAACAGAGTGCTGACAGATTAAGTTCCATAAAGGAACCTCCGATATCGGGTAACAGCCAACATATATCACATGATGCTAAGGATGTCACGAGCACATATCAGAAATTGGACAGTCATTCATTGTACAGAACATAGCACTTTAGAAAATAGATCTCATTTTATCACACAGAAAATAAATACAGTTGAACATAACTTTACTAAGTTATTACTCACAGGTAGTCGCAGAAGCAAATCAGACGGACTGGACATATCAGATAAATCAGGCAAACAATGGCGCGTGACCTACACAAGCACATAACATATACACATTGAAATACAATATTACTTCCTTGATCAAACTTGACTTTCCTAGTCTTTTTCCGTCTAAACAGTCCGAAGTTCTACCATGCTTATCCTTTCTCATTCAAATAAACCGGGTTCTTATTTTACATATTCTTTCATTACTAAGCCCTTCTTTTCCAAATAGATTGATCTTTTACTTGGCTTCTTAAACAATTACCACTAGATCAATGATTCATTCTTCAACTAACTAATCTATGTTGATTGGAAGCTTATTAGTCTTTATTGTGTCATAAATCATGTCTAGAATGCCTTGGAAAGAGATGAGAATAAAAATGTGAACTAAATGCAATTTTCCAAAATATGCTGAAAATGGGGTCTTCGCTCGAGCGCCACTTTGGTCGCTCGAGCGGACTGTAAAATTTGAACAACTTCTGGGAGCTCGATTTTCACGCTCGAGTGAGACTTTCCTCGCTTGAGCGGACAACGTAAATTCTAGAATTTCCAGAATTGTAATTGAAGTTCAAATTTGATATTCAAAGCCTCAAAACATGTATTTTTGGTACACAAAAATTGAGAATCATTGTATAATTTAGTAAACACTTTCAATTAGAAAACATTCATTCAAAATCATGCTCCAATTGCCCAAATTTAGTTTTAATTCATCTTCTTTATATCAACCCACAATTCTAAAATATAAATTAGACTTCCCAACCTCTTGAAATTCCCTGATGTATGTAATACAAATAGATCCAATTTTACTATTAATAACAAAATCAGCTTAACTATGAATTACACAAATCAATTTCTTAGAAATTCAACTTAACTCAATTTTTAACCAAATACTTAATTTATAATCATGGGTGTCCTAAAATGTATCTAAATTGAATAAAATTCTTAAATTACATCACATACATGGATTAAATAAAAATCTAATTATAAAATCAAAACTTTAGGATTAATTCTAAATTTCCATAAACTTGATTTTCTTAAAACATTTCCTTTGTCTCTTCAAAATATAAACTTGAATGGCTCAATTCCCTTAAAACTCATGTATTACATGAAAATATTACAAAATCAAATCAAAACAATTAATTTTCCAAATTAATTTCCACAACTATGAGCCTACTTAATTTCTTACTTAAAACCTTATTTCTTACAAAATCCATGAGACTAATTCCATAACTTTCTTAATTCATGATGCATGGAGGATTATCTAAAACATGAAGTTAAAGTTATAAAACTCTTAGAAAATATTTGCATGTGTGAAATTAGGGTCAAAATCCAAACCAATTACATCCAAAATTCCTTTAATTCAATATTAAGTTCAAAATGTTCATGAATTCATAATTTCCCAAAACTTGCTCTCCTTATACCCAAACATGAAATTAATTCTCCAACTTTCTTAAAGATTCATTGATGCATGTAAAGATGAAGTCCAAATTCATGAGGAATAACACAAATTAAACTTACTTGATAAATTTTCCCAAACTCATTTCCTTAATCTCAAGCTTAACTTAATTTATTTTAACCTCAATTTAATTCATTGTCATAGATGTTTCAAAATATGTTTAATTTGAGTCAAACTCTTAGATTACATTACATGCATGGGTTAATAATTAAAATCAAAATCCATATTTATTCTTTAATTCTTCCAAATTAAATGCATGTAGGAATAAGACCCAAATTCATGCAAGATTACAAAAATTAAATGCAAAATAAATAATTCTAAATTGATTTCCATAATCATTAACCTAACTCATTTGTATGGGCCAAATCTTTAATAAACCCTTGTTGCATGTAATTTATAGAACTTAATCCAAGAATAATTATCTAAATTGAACCCAAATTTAACAAATTAAAAGAATCATAACTTATGTTTTTCAACCCAACTTGATTTAACATACAAATCTAATTTCTATGAAATTATAATTAATCCTCAAATCTTTATTTTGAATCTTCTCAAAATCCACTTTCAATAAATTTTTGTTTAGATTAAGTAAACAACACTAGACAGAGGATGAAATTTCTTACCTTAAGATGAATTTTTCATAATTTTTGACTTCAATTTTAGTATCCCACAAAACCCTCTTCTTCTTTATTCATCCTATCTTCCTTCTCCTTTCTTAACTTCACTTCTCCAGAACCTTTCTTCCTCTCTCACCGTACGGTTCTCTCTCTCTCTCTCTCCTTCCGTATAGTGTTTTTCAATTCATAGTTCCTACCAACAACAAATTGAGCACTCATTCTCTCTCTCCTCACATGTAGCCAAACGCACCCTCTAGCAAAAGAATTCTATATTTTGCACCATTGTCCTAACTCTTCTTCTTAATTATGTAATTATTTAGAATTAACTTAATTTACTAATTGCACATCAACTTAATTAATTAGGATTAGTTTGGCACACCAATTACACTTTAATTTAATTAAACCACAATTAACCATACTTGATTGTGACCGATAAATTTCTACATATCTTAATTAGTCTAATTGACTTCAAATAAGTCCCAATCAATCATAACTAAATTTATCAATCTGAATCAGATTTTTAATCAACATCCCAAAAGGCTCCAATTATTAAATTGAACTTATTATCCTCCTCAATTTTGTTTTCTTAAATAATCTAGGCCTTCAACTTCTGATTAGATTCCAAATTTTCGTCAATTAAATTACATATTCAAATTAGACACCCCATAAATAAATTTAATTTGTAATAATTACAATTCTCAATCTTCATTATTTAATTAACTTGATTAACTCCAATTAGGATCTAATTAATCGAATCTCAATTTTACTAAACTGAAACGAATATTTAATTAACTCCCAAATGGGTCCATAATTAAGATTAAATTGATTTAACTTCTTAACTTCACTTCCTTAAGCCATTTCGACCCTTAATTTCTAATTCCAAAATAAATCTTTAATAGAATCATATACGAGTCAGATCCCACAACTCTCATAAATCCCAAATTAAATTATAATACTCGGTAATTAAATTTCAAGTCCTCTTAATTAATCAAGTACTAATCATTATACGTGACGGGGTCGTTACAAATATGCTGGTCAATAGATGACGAAAAAATAAGAACATCATCAATATAACAAATAGAAAATTCTGTATGAGGAGTGAATATATCATTCATAATATGCTGGAATTCAGATGGCGCATTTTTTTAAACCAAATGGCATAACATTCCATTCAAAATGTCCAAAACGTACTGTAAAAGCAGTTTTATATCTATCCTGTTCAGCAATCTGAATCTAACAATATCTTGATTTTAAATCAAATTTTGAGAAACTGATTGAATCCTGTAATCGATCTAAAAGATCTTTTTTATTCGGGATAGGATATCTAATCCATTTCAAGGCATCATTAAGAGGTTTATAATTGATAACCAATCTTGGCACACCTCTTTCAATTTCTGCATTCTTGTTAACATAAAAGGCTGTACAACTCCAAGGAGAGTAACTCGGTCGGATTAGGTTTTTTTGGTAAGGGAGTATTTATTTCTATTTTACACAGCTCTAAATACTCTTTTTTCATTTGGCTAGGTCGCGATCTAGTGGGAATTTCGCTCTCATTATACAGGCCTTGTTTGGTTTGTGTTTCTCAAAAAATTTTGGGAAAAATTCTCTACAAATAAGTTTTCAAAAGTAATCAAACCAAACAAATTTTCCCAAATTTTTTTTCCAAAACTTGTTTGGTTTACAAATTTTTCAAACAAATCTCTCTCTCTCATACACATCAAATCAATCACTTTTTCCAAAACTCTCTCTCAAAATAATTTTTCAAAACATCTTTTGAAAAAAAGTTAAACCAAACAAATTTTCGTACTTTTTATCTCAAAACATGTTTCTCAAATACAAACCAAACAAGACTTAAATCCTGGTTCGTAGGGAAGAGAAACTATATGTTTCTTATGTTCCCAAAAAGCATTTGGAACATCACTGCAGATTTCTGTATGAAATTCTTTTTCAATCATTTTAATTTTATTCTGTAAAGTGGATTGTTGTAACCTCTATTCTGTTGTTAGAAAATGAATTTCTATTTGAAGAAAATTAATTTGTTTTTCCTTGAATTTGACTGGATCTTTGATTTGATCTAACTCTTTTGTATATGGTTCGGTAATAAACTCATAAATAATAGGTTGATTACTAATGGTTGTATGAATACCAATGGAATCTACCTTAGTGATAGGCATTAACAAACACAGGAATGGTGTCCCTAAAATAATAGTTTGAGACATATTTCGGATAAGGACAAATGAGGTTGGAAGACAAATGCCCTGATTACTGATAAGAACTTCTGGAAGTTTGTAATGAATATACATGGAATTGCCACTAGCACTAGTGAGTGACTGGGTTGTTTTTTGAAAATATTTGGTAGGAATTAAACCTTCCCGAATACAATTCATATCAACACCACTATCTACAAGAGCAACGACATCTTTAATTATAAAATCTGGTTTTATAATAAAAGTAATTATGATGTACCATTTCAGCAAAGTAACCTGATTCATGAGCATTAGTTTTTGATTGTAAGATGGGTCAGGTTTGTCGTCATTACTGGATTCTTCTTCTGTAGCACCTTTATCTTTGGTTGAGCCTTTCTGTTGAGCTAGTTGAATATTAATTTTCTTAATATCAGCAATGATTGATAAATTTGTTGTTTAGAGATGTTTGATTTCAGATTTTAACACATTAACCTCCATTTTAAGATCCTGGACTATAACAGGTTTGTCAATGGGAGAAGAGGTCTGTAAACGACTAAAAACCTCTTTCATACTGTAATGATTGGTGGGAAGATCAATTTCCTCCTTTTTATGCTGTTGATAGCATATTTCTAAAAATTTCAACTTCATTTTTGGATCTTTTATCTGGTCAGCTATATTCAACATGTTTTGTTCTTTATCTGTAAGGACATTACGGCTAGGTCCATCTAGGTTAAGTCCATTCATTTCGACTATTGCTTTCCAATAGTTGGCTTCTGTAATCTGGTTTATATTTGTTTGTTGACAAGGGCAAATTTCTGGAGAAGAGTCAGATTCTAGATCGGACTCAGAAGGTGAATAGAGTTCAGCAAGTCCATCATATGAACTTGAACTTGTTTCTGTTTCTTCTTCAGAAATTGCTTGGAGAATCTGTTACTGGAGATGAACATCAATTGCTATTTCATTGAGTTTTTGTTGGATTTTTGCTTTACAGTGATTAGCATAATAGCTTGTTTGTCCACACTTGTAACATGTTATTGTGGATTTATCTTTCTTTTTGTAAGATTTTTTCTATTTGCCTTTATACGATTTCTGAGGCTGATGTTGTTGGTAACTCTGTTTAGGAGTTTTATATTTTTTGAATTTTTTGGAATAATGCTTTGAGGATTTTCCAAATTTTTGTTTCCTGGTTTTGGAGGGATATTGTATTTTAGTATCATAGGCAAATTGTTCACAAAATTCACCTAATTCCTTCTTGCCTGTAAGATTTTGTTTTTTCATTTGATACTGGAGTTTGAGGTCATTACATAGAGCTAGACCTTCTTCTGTTACTATGCCTATTAATTGGCCATAGGTATAATCTAAGTAGGGTATAGTCATTCTATTATGACGATCCCGTAGCTTCTTTTTGACTTTTTCAGCAAAAACAGTAGGAAGACTATCAATAAATTTGGCTTTACAATGTTCACTGTTAGCATCAGACCGACGCACAACTTTCATTAAGAAAACATCTTTATAGACCATATATGGCATAATTTGAATTTAATATAATAATAATATGAATAGTACTGTCCTTGGGTTTGTGCTAGTTGATGGTAGAACTGTGTTAGGTTAAGTGAGACGTCACCCAAGTCGCGTAGAGAGAGATCGGTTAGCAGTGATTGCGGTTAGGTCGTAACCTTGTAAGTTGTTGATAGACGTGCTTAGTTTTACCCTGTGTCAAGCACCTCACATTGGTATCAGAGCCAAGTGTATTATTATTTGTATTATAATTATATTATATTTAAATTATACATATATGGTCCCAATACACCTGTATGAGTACTGCACCTACAGAGGATACTATCACTACAGTAGCCAATACAATGGCTTCAACTTCAGAAGCAACCGAACTAGTCGCATACCAAGATGTTAGGGAAGCCCTAGATAAATGGGCTATCCCCAAATTCAAACCAGATACTATCTACAGGATAGGAGCCTTTGACTTCACCAGTACAAAAATAATCAAAACTTTTGAGCATGCTGTACCCGTACAAAATGATGATGAGATTATGTATCTCCTTCACATACAGGACTTGTACCCATTTTTACAAAAATATAAGTATGTCCATATAGGACTCGTTCACATAACATTCAAACCTTTGACCTTGCTTGGGCAAAATACCAGTATACAATGTACCCTCTGAGATGGTAGATGTCTCGATTGGAGAGCATCTCTGATGGGAGCCATAGAAACCAGTCTCTCCCATGGTCCAGTATACTTTAACATATATCCAAATCTAAGCATAGCACTTATTGACCTTAATATGTCAAAGGTCTTACAGCTTAGAATCCTTTCTCATGGATATCAGTATTACCAGGATCACCACCTTTTACAGTAATCTCTAGGATTCATTTAAAGGTATTAACCGCATTGAATCCTTATACCAAAAAGCAGAGTGAATTAGGACACACAGTTCTAATTGATACCAACCTTTTCAGTAGCCAAGTTGCTATCCCAAAAATGATACCTTGGCAGAATATAACTTTTCTAGAAAGATGGAAAATTCCTAATGCTGTACCAGTTCGACCCATCGTAAGACAAACCTTAGATGATGTCATATAGACACAAGGAGGTAATGTATACCTCACTTTTAATAGGCCAACTAGACCATTATCCAGAAGCATGTCTAGTGCTAGATTTAGAATTGCTCCATCTTATAGGGTAGATCTACTAGATTCCATAAGACAATCTATTTCAGAACCCATAGAGTCTGTGTTACAAGGAATGTCATCCCGGCCTCCAAGTGATACAACTCCTGAAAATCTTATAGATTTAGTTGTACAAGGGATTTAGGGAATCAAATTTTCAGAAAACCATATCCCACATGAAGTTTATGAATCCAGAAAGCCTTATAGTCCAACGACCAGTGATATGAATTTTGAAGTTTGATGGATTTTACATCAGGAAGTGAAACCCGAAAAATCCTAAATCAGGATTTTTTCGAGAACAAATACCAAGAATTTAGGACATGGTATTTCCAAAATCATAGTCCT